TAAAATGACAGGTAGACAGGTGGCTGTCTAAAATGACAGGTAGACAGGTGGCTGGCTAAATGCCTGCATCAAGAAATAGTGGATAATTGTAAGAATATTGACATCCAAAGGCCCAGCATGTACTTTCAATATTCTGTGTGTAGAATTCAATGTGTTGTACTTCTATGCCACAAGATATGATGTGTCTCATATTAATTACATATAAAAGCTGCTATATCAAGGATTTCCTCATCAATATTGGTACATGTAATATGTTTAAATAATCCCTTTGCAAGATTGATTTGTCTGTTATTTTTGAAGCGCCTACATGTCCAGACTCTGGGTCACTATAGCAACGACTCCTACCCATAATCTGTTGTATTCAGAGCTCCTACATGTCCGGATTCCAGGTCACCATAGCAACAACTACTAGCATAGTCTGTTTTGATATACTGTTGATTAATCTTGTAAACTTAGGGTAATGGAAAGCAGTCTATGGCATCTGGATTCCGATGTGTACACGCTGTGATATGTAATCTATGCCATAGATAGCCAGTTTATGCTATCTTGTAATGGATTAGTCTTTTTTTTACATTTGCATATTCCCTTAAAGCATTGCTGTGTACATCATACAGTGTTACCAATCCACTGACAGATGCTATAATATAATTACATCACAATGTATACATGAATAGCCTAAATGATAGAATGTATAATTCAATTACAAGACTGTGCCATCTGTTGTCAGAAATTCTCAAAACTGCATCACATTAATATACTGTACAACAGGAATTTACATAACAATACAATTGTAAATAATAACAATAATTATTTATGTCAATTTGTTTTTGCTGGACGCATCCATCTTGTTGCGATCTTAGCATGAATTATCACATGGATTCAACCAAACCTACAACCCTATAATCTCAAAGATTTCCCATGACAATGGGTCAGTCATTGTGGTCATTTTACTTGCATTGATCAGTATCTCATTTCATTCATTCATTAACAGTCTTTCTTATATCTCCTGGGATGGCCCACTGGATGCATATCTGAGCTCAAGAATGCCTGACTAGACCTCATCACAAGGGAAGGGTAAAAATGATGTAAATTGGCTGTGGTGTCAGTTTCTGTCATGCCTCTCACCCCAACGCTGACCAACCTGGCCCTCCAACCTCCAAGCCATTTTATTAACCAACAAACTGTACAGTTTATGCAAGTATTAAACAAGGCAACATTCATTTCTGATCTAAGTGTCTAAGTTTGAATGGTCAATAGGGTTCCAGTTTGAAAGGTCAAACGGGTTCCAGTTTGAAAGGTCAATAGAGTTTCAGTTTGAAAGGTCAAAAGGGTTTCAGTTTGAAAGGTCAAAAGGGTTTCAGTTTGAAAGGTCTATAGAGTTTCAGTTTGAAAGATGAATAGGGTTTCAGTTTGAAAGATGGATAGGGTTTCAGTGTGAAAGGTCAATAGGGTTTCAGTGTGAAAGGGCAATTGGGTTTCGGTTTGAAAGGTCAATAGCGTTTCAGTTTGAAAGGTCAATAGCGTTTCAGTTTGAAAGGTCAATAGCGTTTCAGTTTGAAAGGTCAATAGAGTTTCAGTTTGAAAGGTCAATAGGGTTTCAGTTTGAAAGGGCAATAGGGTTTCAGTTTGAAAGGTCAATAGGGTTTCAGTTTGAAAGGGCAATAGGGTTTCAATTTGAAAGGGCAATAGGGTTTCAGTTTGAAAGGGCAATAGGGTTTCAGTTTGAAAGGGCAATAGGGTTTCAGTTTGAAAGGGCAATACGGTTTCAGTTTGAAAGGGCAATAGGGTTTCAGTTTGAAAGGGCAATAGAGTTTCAGTTTGTAAGGTCGAAAGGGTTTCAATTTGAAAGGTGAATGGAGTTTCAGTTTGAAAGGTTGAAAGGGGTTCAGTTTGAAAGGTCAAAAGGGTTTCAGTTTGAAAGGTAAAGGGGTTTCAGTTTGAAAGGTCAAATATGGTTTCAGTTTGAAAGGTGAATAGGTTTCAGTTTGAAAGGTCAAAAGGGTTTCAGTTTGAAAGGTCAAAGGGTTTCAGTTTGAAAGGTAAAGGGGTTTCAGTTTGAAGGGTCAAATATGGTTTCAGTTTGAAAGGTGAGTAGGTTTCAGTTTGAAAGGTCAATAGGGTTTCAGTTTTAAAGGTGAATAGAGTTTCAGTTTGAAAGGTCGAAAGGGTTTCAATTTGAAAGGTGAATAGAGTTTCAGTTTGAAAGGTCGAAAAGGGTTCAGTTTGAAAGGTCAAAGGGGTTTCAGTTTGAAAGGTCAAAGGGGTTTCAGTTTGAAAGGTCAAATATGGTTTCAGTTTGAAGGGTGAATAGGTTTCAGTTTGAAATGTCAATAGGGTTTGAGTTTGAAAGATCAAATAGGGTTTCAGTTTGAAAGGTGAATTGGGTTTCAGTTTGAAAGGTCAAATAGGGTTTCAGTTTGAAAGGTCAAATAGGGTTTCAGTTTGAAAGGTCAATGTGGTTTCACTTTGATAGGTCAATGTGGTTTCACTTTGATAGGTCAATATGGTTTCAGTTTGAAAGGTCAATAGGGTTTCAGTTTGAAAGGTCAATAGGGTTTCAGTTTGAAAGGTCAAAAGGGTTTCAGTTTGAAAGGTAAAGGAGTTTCAGTTTGAAAGGTCAAAAGGGTTTCGGTTTGAAAGGTAAAGGGGTTTGAGTTTGAAAGGTCAAATATGGTTTCAGTTTGAAAGGTCAATAGAGTTTTCAGTTTGAAAAGTCAAAAGGTTTCAGTTTGAAAGGTGAGCAGGGTTTCAGTTTGAAAGGTGAGTAGGGTTTCAGTTTGAAAGATGAATAGGGTTTTCAGTTTGAAAGGTCAATATGGTTTCAATTTGAAAGGTCAACATGATTTCAGTTTGAAAGATCAAATAGGGTTTCAGTTTGAAAGGTGAATTGGGTTTCAGTTTGAAAGGTCAAATAGGGTTTCAGTTTGAAAGATCAAATAAGGTTTCAGTTTGAAAGATCAAATAAGGTTTCAGTTTGAAAGGTCAATGTGGTTTCACTTTGATAGGTCAAATATGGTTTCAGTTTGATAGGTCTATATTGTTTCAGTTTGAAAGGTCAGTAGGGTTTCAGTTTGAAAGGTCAATAGGATTTCAGTTTGAAAGATCAAATAGGATTTCAGTTTGAAAGATCAAATAGGGTTTCAGTTTGAAAGGTGAATTGGGTTTCAGTTTGAAAGGTCAAATAGGGTTTCAGTTAAAAAGGTCAAATTTTACCAGGACAGTAACTTAGTGAATCTGCAAATATATATACAGTATATACACTTGATACATTTCTCTTTATGCGTGTACACGTATGTCCTAATGAGTTTTCAATTACATGTCTTAGGTTATAGGAATAGACTATTATAGAGTCCATGATTGACTCCTTTTGTTCAGCAAATTGATATGAGAAACCTTTTAACATATTGATAGTCATATAACACTAAAACGAGTTCTGTTTTGAGCAGTGATGCGCTAAGCTGGAATATAAGTATGTACTTGATATGTTAATGCAATTGTAACCCATTAGTGTGAGCAATGTAGTGCTATGGATGACTTACATATTAAGCTTGAATAAGTAGATTCAATAATAAAACAGGAAAATAAAGCAAAATATTCAACTTATTCATAAGTTGTATTCCCATTTTGTATTATATGTAGTTCTAAGACTTTCTCCTGCTACAATGAGAAATGATGAAATCAGTTGGTCAGGCAATAAATCCTGAAATCGAACACTGCTAGCACTGAAAGCTGAGGTTTCTGATCCCTTAAATCAAACCACATAATTACTCAAGGCCATTTGCATGTATTTTAGGAGGACTTTCTGTATTTGATTTCAGATGATTAGATAAAATTTCCCATGAACTGTACAAAACCCAAAAGCCTAATTAAAGCTTACCCAGGGTCAGTGGAAAGTTTTCTGCAGATCATACAAAGTTGGAATGCAAATCAAAAGAATATATACCTTTCCACATCTGATGAAAAGCCCCTGTGCAGATCTGTTCGCTTCATGTTACTCAAAAACAAATTAAAAGTTGGTTAAAGGTTCCATTGTGCTTTGGCTTTGACCTGTTCAAAATGCTAATGAAATACACATTGCAGCAAACACAGTATAAATAAAACATCACCAAGTCTGATTAGTTTTCTTGACAATATTGCAGTAATTACTGTAAAACATTTCTAGCTAGCATGTCATTTTAGCTAATCAGCTAACCTGTAATTTTGCTAATTCAAGATGTCGCTAATTTAGAATAAAGTATATTCTCACAATGAGATTATTGTCATTTTAGCTAAATTAAGATTTTCCTAATTCATGTATTGAGTCGAATTCGCTAAAATGGCATGTAGCTATTTCAGTGGGTTTTACAGTATTTGGTGTCATCAGTACTATCAATTCTTAGATGCAAGTTTGTTGTATGTATTGAATGAATTAGAACAAACTCCATCCTGTTAAACGGCAAGCTCAAGGTTGTTGTTTTTAGTTTTCTGCAGCATTGCACACGATTAAAAACTACATTGCATTTTGAAGTTCTTTTTTTCAAAAGTTGAATGAGATTACATACTTGATTTATCAGATCTTTGTGGGGGTTGTGATAAATAAATAAATAAAAAGAAAACACAGATCTTATTATAACACAAGTTTACATGTTGCATGTAATATGTGATCTGACCAATGCAGTCTTGTAATCCCTGGAGCATATGAGCTGTATTAAAACTGGTGTAGAATTACTTCACAGTTAATAGATAGATGATAGATAATATACTCAATAAATATATATATTGCTCCACTATAAAAAGTAAAACTTCTAGTCTTAAAACAAACTTACCAGCTGCCTAAATAGTCTGTTTTCTCTTCAATTATCTGGTTTTTTTGTTCAAACTTTATTGTATTTTTATTGAGATCTCAATTGAAAATATGATTTTAAGTATTTTATTATTATTATACTCCCCAAAATGGTACAAACAATAATAAATTCACTAATTATTGTAAAATACTTATAAAATTTGTTATTCCTTTACAGATAGGTACAGTAGAAAGACAAGTATTTGATTTCCTTGGTTACATGTGGGCTCCTATTATTGGAAATTTTCTGCACATAATTTTTGTGATCCTGGGACTATTTGGTGCATATCAGTACAGACCAAGATATATCATTGTGGTAAGATATCTCACTTTCAACATATTCCTTACATAACTACAAGTACATGTATTTACCTTTTGAGTGAGCATCAGATTTTTTCCCGTCTAAAAATTTTTTCAGTTTCTAAAATTTTCATTGAATTCAATCTTAATTTTAAACCAAACTAACAAAAAGTGACATTATTGCAAGATTTTGATCCAAAAATTTGAAACGTTTGAAACGTTTGCAACATTTTATTTGGAAAAGAGCAGACTGTAAATGGAACTTTTTGATGGATGCTGCTTCAAGTTAATGCTGGCAACCAAAAGGTTATAAAAAAAGGAACTTGTTTCTAGAAAATATAATAAAAAGATAGATTTAAACCCACTTTCAATAAGCCACAATGGGTTACAGTGATAAATGGCTACCAGTGTACATGTAGCTCAATATGGGACCAGATAGATGAATATATCAGATAATAATTAATTGAGTATTTATTTTAATATTTTCAGTATGCGGTATGGTTAGTCATATGGCTGGTTTGGAACACTTTTATAATCTGTATGTATCTTGAAGTTGGAGCACTTTCAATAAAGGTATGACACAATATCTGTAACATCTGTTTGTTTCAGCAATATCATGTGACTTTTGTATTCAAGATACTGATCTTATGCATCACACAGAGTAAAGTATGTCCTCACACAGTAAAATGTGCATCACACACAGTAAAATACACAGTAAAATAGGCATCACACACAGTAAGGTATGCATCACACATAGTAAGGTATGTATCACACATAGTGAAGTATGCATCACACACAGTAAAATATGCATCTCACAAGGTAAGGTACGCATCGCACATAGTAAGGTAAGCAACACACAGTGAGCTATGTCCATCATAGACAGTAAGGTACCTATTGCATCCAATGGTTGTGTTGTGCCACTCTATGTGTAATTACAATAAAAAGAAGACACTTGTCTAGGTCGGCAATGTTTCAAATTTGATTACTGGTTTGGGGCGACAGCATGACAAGATCCCTGGCTCAACACAATTGCTCGCTGAAAGCCTCAATGGATAACTGAATTGAATGGAAAAATAGGTGTCAGCAGGTAATATGTGTTAAGTAGTCACTGGCAGTCCTTACTATGTATTGATGGGCCTGACATAATCTTTGGTATTGTGATTGAATCTTATCTCAATTGGTAAATTGACCTTTCCCATTGTTGCACACTTTATAGACTATGTACTTTAGTCCAAACACCCTGCAGTGTATATAAATTAAAGTTATCATTTCTGGTAAATGCTACATAGGGTTATTTCAAGGTATTAAGTTTTCTTAAATGAAAAAAATAATTTGTCTAATTGTGTCATTCAGTAAAATTTGTAATTTTAAGGAAAGTTATACATGTATAAAAAAATATTGCAGTCGTCTGCCAATGTTTAAAAACATAGAATAGTAGAATTATTGTTTCATACATTGAAATTTTGCTTGGTGGCAGGTATAAAATAGTTGTATATTATTATTGATATAAATATTGTTAAAACGTTTTATAAATTGACATTTAATTTAGTGAGTGCAGTTTTCTATCATACAGTGGGAAGTGCAATCCCACAATGCATTGCATATATGCACTGCTGTAAAATACTTTTTCGCTTGCAACTAATTTTTGCTGAAGGAATGATTCGGTGAAAATAAAATCCAGCTAATATACTTTTTTTCCTACATTTTACATTCAACTCTTCAAAATTTAGTGAAAATAAACTCCATACAAAACACCCAAAAAGTCTTTTCAGCAAAAATTAATTCCAGCTAAAATAAAACATTTTACAATATAACATTCTCAGTATTCAGCTCAAAATACATTACATGACTTTACAGAATGGTGATAATAAAAAATGAGACATACTCTCAGTAATAAGTGTGACAAGGTAACAATATATACCATCTATGCTCTATTAGAAGTGCATCTTCTATAGAAGCACATATAAACTAGAAATTATGTTTGTTGTATTCTGATTACAAAACATAAAATATAACTTAAAATATAATTTTGATCATAGAAACACCTTTTTAGCTTCGCTGACAGTGGAGCTGTTTATTTAGGTGATTGTTAGTCGTTGTCCGTCAACAATTGCATTTTTGACTTTTGATACTTGGTATGGACCTTTCAGGTTTGTTCATTACATGTCAATATCATTGAGTCTCTGTGTTGGCAATTATTTTTTATAATTTTTGGCAAAAAATGATATATTTGAAATCTTCTTGTAACACTGCCAATTGTTTTTGTGAACAATTTGTTTGATGAAGTTGAGTTGACATCTTCTCAACAGCCAATGGGTGTGCATTGCTACCACAATGTTCTTGTAGGACAGCAGAGCTATTTCAATCAAGGTTGCTTGTTAATTTATGCAAATAGAGTATATTGAAGTCTGCATGTTCACTACTGGGGGGGGGGGGGTTATCATGTATAACTGTTTTTGAGCTCTAAATAAATACTTTTGTTTTTTCAGAATCACAAAAAAATTTTAACAATCAATACAGACAATGAGAGTTGGTGGACAAACCATGGTTACGGTTGCGTAATAACTTATAATACAACAACAACAGCAAATGGAGAAACGCATCAAGAAACATCAAACCAAGACTGTATTTTAGATTATGAATATGTAGAAATAATACATGCTGGAATTCAGTGCCTATTTTGTGTAAGTCGTCAATACTTTGTCCTATACGTGGTGGTTAGGGACAACATCAAAAGTTCAATGTAGGATAAAAAACTTAATTCCTTTAGTTTTTTCCAACCCCCCTACACCCCACTGAAACTTAATTAATAAATATTGATCATGGCGTCAGACTACATTCACCATTAAATACAAATTGATAATCGGACAGTAGTATGGCATAGCAGTTGGTTGTCGGTTGGGTGTAGAAAGACTGCACTCGAACCAAACCATTTTTGACATCCGTGTGCGAAGCACAAAAAGGGAGTCTTTGCAGTTAGTGTGTCTGTATGTGTATGTGTGTGTGTGTGTGTGTGTGTGTGTGTGTATGTGTGTGTGTGTATGTGTGTCCGTCTGTTCCACTGATATCTCAAGAACCATACATCAGTTTTTGATGAAACTTGGTGCATAGATGCTCTGGGCCAATGCGCAGATTTGATTAGGTTTTGGTAAAAATCCATGCATATTAATTACCTAATTTGCATGATAATTAGCTGATTTTTAGCTGTTCCATGACTGTTCCACTGATATCTAAAGAACCACTCATTGGATTTTGATGAAACTTGGCACACAGATGCTCCAAACTAATGCACAGATTTGATTAGTTTTGGGTAAAAATCTGTGCAATATTAATTACCTAATTTGCATAATGATTAATCAATTTTCGGCTTTTCCACTGATATCTCAAGTACTAATCATCACATTTCAATAAAACTTGGTACATAGATGTCATGGGACACTGCACAGACCTGATAGTTTTTAGGATAATATCAGTATATATTAATTAGCTAATTTGCATAATTAATTAATTTTCAGCTTTTGATATTTCAAGTAGAAATCATCACATTTCAATGACACTTGGTACATAGATGTCATAGGACACTGCACAGACCTGATAGTTTTTAAGGTAATATGAGTACATATTAATTACCTAATTTGCATAATTAATTAATTTTCAGCTTTTGATATTTCAAGTAGTAATCATCACATTTCAATGAAATTTGGTACATAGATGTCATAGGACACTGCACAG